TTCTTTATATTCCACATATCTGTGAAATCAACTGGTTTTTGTCTTTCTCTTCTGACTTAATTTGCTTTGCTGTTAGTGTTCTTCAAGCACACCTTAAAGATTTTCTGTCTGTCTGGATGTTCTACTATATATATTTAAATAGGAATAATTAAAAATATTTACATGGATATGTACCTGTTTCATAAGACTTTCTATAAAATATTCTTGCTGTGAAAATTTCTTAATAGAAGCCACAATTAGTTCTTAGCCCAACTTATTTTCTCATTGATCTTTTATTGTTATTAGACATGCCATTATTTATTATATTAAGAAAAAGTATATTCACAGCCATTTTTATAGCAGCATATTATACAATTATTGTCCCCCCAATGCACTCTAATGTACAAGAGACATTTTTGACTTTGTTAAAAATTTTTTGATAGATTGTTCAGCTTAATTAACATTTCAGGTATTATCATAACTTAATAGGAGGGGCATTTATTATCCTAACTAAATATTTTCAGTCCCAGCACTTGAGCTTAATGCATTCAACCAATATTGTTAAATGATATAACAAAAAAATGTAATTATAGGCAGGGCAAAAAACCTCACAAGCCCCATTTTTGTAACGGAGTATTTAGTTAATAATTGTACTATTGCATACAAAGGACTTTTATAAAACTTACATAATTACAGTTTTCTAACTTAGGTTGTAAGGCATTAAAAAGTTCTAAAATTATCCATTATAGTCAACAAACATTTTATAATTAAGGACCAAATGACAGCTCCTAACTTGTGATATGCATATCAAGTTTCTAGTTGTTTCAGCATCTCATGAAATGACAAAATTTCACCAAGTATTTCTATTAAGACACTCAATTATATTCTTTTTTTAAAGAGATTTATTTATTTTATTTATACAAGCACTGGGTACAGTTAGAAGTGCGGGAGGGTGAGAGAATTCACCAGAGCCAGAGTGGAGAGCAGAACAGGCAGACTGACGAAATACACTGCTGAGGGGAGCAGCGGGAGGCAGGAGAGGTCTGTGTGACATGTTGGACCCTCGCCCGGTAGCCGGGCATTGAATAGGTGCTGCAGAGGCTGCAGGCAGGTTTGCAACCCAGAGCTCAACCACTGCATCACCGGGGAGACCCTCAATTCTATTCTTTGTGGAATAGAGGAATAGAATGTTTTTTGAAATATCAGTGTTAGTGTCCCACCCCTTTCAGTGGTCTAAATTCAGAGGATCTAGTTAACACTGGTTCCTCACTTCAGTCTTAAACATTTTTTTTTAAACTTGAATTAATGGGTGTGATACACTGCTGGGGGCTTAGAACACTGGAGACAAGAAAATTCACAGAGAAGGAACAATAAAGAGTGAATTCACTTGACTTTTAACCTGATCTCTTGGGAACTGAGTCATTAGGAAAAAAAATCTGCTCTAGTAGTCCAGAGTAGAGGGAAATCATGTGCTTAATAGTTGGAGGTTCAAAAAAAATGTGACTAATGAGTTGCTACATGTAGCTGTAAATATCTCTTTCTTGCAGAACCAGAGCTTGTACCATCTTGAGGTGCACAGGAGGTGATTGCTGTGTTTGTAATCGTACATGTGGTTCAGGGACCAACATTTCATTCTTCACTTGATTTTATCTAAAAGGCCGAGAAGCGATTGCAACCAACATTTCATTCTTTCCTGCTAGTTTGTCTAGGAACAATTTCAGCCTCCATTATCAACTATACAGGGAGGAACTTGGACTTTCATTTGGAGACCTTCTTCTCAGAGACCTCATCCAGGTGGGTCAGAGAGTCTAGGACTTACTTCAGAAGTAACTCACTATGAAAGCAACAGAGAGATTTTACCAGAGTTCACCTGAGATCTTAATCAGCCTAGAGACAAGAGATTGCCATATTAATTTATGTAATTGTTAAAAGGAGAACTGTCCATTGTGCTCAGAAATCAAGGGTCATTGTTGAAAACTAAGGGATAGGAGAAGCCCATTTGGATGAGACTAAGAAGTATGTGAAGACTATTATGATCCAGTAAAGTTAGAACATATCCAAGGATTTTTACAGTTTATGATGAAAGAGAAAAATAGAGTTTTTAGGTGTGAATGGCAGGTGTTGAACTCATTTAAAAGCTCTTTTACAAGTGAGGTGTATTTGAACACAACCTGAACTGTACTGAAAGGTCTCGGCCAGTGGTGGTAGATGTTACTTAGGAAGACAGTTCATTTTATTTAATAGGTCAATAGGGATACCAAAGAGTTTTACTTTGCAGTTTTTCATTACCCTTCAGGCTGAATCTATTTTCCATTTGATAGAACTTCTATTGTGAACTAACTATGCAAGTGTTTTGCACAGATTCTTTACTGAGATCTGAGTTTTTGTTAGTGTTTTCGATGGTGCATTTCAAATGAAAGAGTTTCTTTCTACTTTGTTGCTTTGCAGATATTTACTTTATATGTGTATGGATTACTGTGGGAAATATTTAAAGTTGAAATATTTTGTTAGTCATATACCAGTCCATTGTATTGTGCCACTGTAATGTAAACCCAGTGGTTGGCTTTTCTTTTCTTTTTCTTTTTTTTTATAAGATTTATTTATGCATATAAGAACTGGGGTTCAGGCCAGAGGAACAGGGGGACAGTGAGAGGATTTACCAGAGACAGAGCGGGGAGCAGAACAGGCAGATTGACCAAAATACACTGCTGAGGGGAGCAGTAGGTGAGACAAGAAATGCCTGCTGAACCATGTGGCCGACCAGGGATGGAACTTATGCTGCAGTGGCTGTGGATAGCTTCATAGGTTGCGTCTTAACCCCTTGCAACACCAGGTGGGCCTGGCTTTTCTTTTTGAAATGCAGAAACCTCATCTGAGCTTTAATCTTGAAGTATTCTTGAAAAAGTGAACCAGTACATGCAAGTACATCCCAGCCATAGGGCTAGATATGAGCCAGACTGCCTCCCACTATGAAGGATCTTTGTTTCATTTATTTATTCATTTATTCATTCATTATTTATTTGATATTGTTGTTCATTTTCATCAAATATTTGATTTCTCCCCTCAGATGTACTCCCTACAGTTCTTTTACCACCAGGGCACCAGTGAATCAGCACCATAATCCCTCATGTTCTTTCCTCCACCCTCCTTTTTTAAAAAAAGTTTTAGTGGGCCTCCCCTGGTGGCACAGCGGTTGAGCGCTGGGCTGCGAGGCTGCCCACAGCCTCTGCAGCTCCAATTCATTCCCCAGCCCCCAGCGAGGGTCCCACCAAAAAAAAAAAAAAGTTTTAGTACTTCTAGTTATTTATTTATACATAAAAACTAGGGTTTAAGCCAGAGGTTGGGGGGTGAGAGGATTCACCAGAGACAGAATGGGGTGCAGAGCAGGTGGATCTTCTAAAATATACTGCTAAGGGGAGATTCTGGGGAGACAGGAGATGTCTGCTGAGAGACATGTGGGTTAACTCCCTGATTGGGGAACAGGCCACAGTGGTGATAGCATGATAGAGCTGAAACTTAAACCCTATGCTACCAGGAAGGTCACCTGTCCTCTGTTTTGACCCATTTCCCCCCCCACTTCCCCTGCTATATCCCTCAGACCCACAGTTTTCCTACAAGTTTTGTCTTATTGCTGACCATTTTTTCTGTTTCCCTATATTCTCCCTATAATTGAGAGACCATCTGATATTTTTCTTTTTCCTTCTGACTTATTTTGCTTAGCATAATCCCTTCCAGCTTCATCTATATTGCTACATCTATATTGCATCTATATTGCTGCATCTATATTGCTGCATTTTTGATTGCTGAGTAGCATTCCATTGTGTATACATATCACACCTTCTTGAGGCGTTCATCTGTGGGGCATTTGGGTTTTATTCAATATCTTGGCTATTGTAAATAGTGCTGCAGTAAGCATAGGAAAGCAGCTTTCCATTCAAACTAATATTTTTGTATCCTTTGGGTAGATTGCCGGGAGTGGAATCACCCGATCCAGTTTTAGTGCTTTGAGGATCCTCCACCCAGCTTTAGGAGCTCCTTTTTACTGATTCTGCAGACATAGATAACTCCTTGGGTTGTGTGTGTGTGCACATGCTGTGGTGTTAACAGTCATCAGAGCAAGGGTACCTGGGCTATTGATTGTGTTTTAGCATATATGTCATAAGAATTATCATGGAATATATGAATCCAGGTCATCTCTAGACAGGGAACTCCTTTGCAACACTATAAATAAACTCCATAAGATTTGTAGTTGGACAAGGAATTCATTCTTCCTTGAAGCTTCAGCAGTAAGAGTTGCCACTTTACTCTCCAATATATCTGACAGCATTTGTAATCATGGTCCCTCATGTTCATGCACTTTACCACAGGGCTTCACTTTGTGAACTAAAATATTTGAAACAAAAACTTTCCTCAGAACTTCCATACTGTTGGTCTCTATGTCAGGAAAAAAATTTCCCCACAGAATGTTACATCTCTCTCCCCTGTTACTTTGAGGTGCTTGTTCAAATGTCAATCTTGTTTATAGGTTTTGCCAAAATACCCATGAAATGTAGAAGGAAATTCACTTCTCCTTTTTCTTAAAACCATCTGTCTTTTCTGATAGCTATGTCACCATCAGAAATGTCACAAAAAACTTTGGTGGCTTATATATTCCTTCCCCATCAGTGAAGTGAGGGAACTTGTTCTTCAGCATCCTATACAAGTTATATCCTATACAAGTTACATCCTATACAGCATCCTATACAAGTTACAACATCAACTGAGCAATTAATTTATACTTCTGCTATGAAAAAAAATAACTTAAAAACTGTAGAGTACATGAACTCTTAATGCTGGTTAGGGCACAATTCAATATTAGAGGTGGTACTGGGATCATACAGGCGAAATAAAGCCATATACAGAATGCAAAAGCTAATTTATTAAGAGCAAAATACATAGTGCAGCATTCAGAGATGTGGTTAATGAAATTTTGCATGAAACTTTATTTTGTTTTCTTCTTTTCCAGAGGTCATTTCCACCACATGGAAACAGGCAATAATACAAAAATTTCAATATTTCTTCTGGGATTATCAGAGGAACCACAACTGCAGTCTTTTATTTTTGGGTTTTTCCTCTCCATGTACTTGCTCACTATCTTTGGGAACCTGTTCATCATCCTGGCTGTCAGCTCAGATTCCCGGCTCCATACACCCATGTACTTTTTCCTCTGCAACCTGTCCTTGGTAGACATCTGCTTCACCTCTACAATCATCCCCAAGATGCTGCTAAACATCCACACACAGAGCAAGGTCATAATGTATGAACACTGTATCACCCAAATTTATTTTTTTGTACTCTTTGCTGTGTTGGATATGTTTCTCCTGACTGTGATGGCCTATGACCGCTTTGTGGCCATCTGTCACCCCCTGCACTACATGGTCATCATGAATCCCCGGCTCTGTGGACTGCTGGTTCTGGTGTCCTGGATCCTTAGTGCCCTGAATGCCTTGCTAGAAAGCTTAATGATTTTGCGACTCTCATTCTGTACAGACTTGGTAATCCCCCACTTTTTCTGTGAAGTCAATCGGATGATCCAACTTGCCTGTTCTGACACCTTTGTTAATAACATGGTGATGTACATTGCAGCTCTCTTGTTGGGCGGTGGTCCCTTTATTTGTATCCTTTACTCTTACTCTAAGATAGTTTCCTCCATACGTAGAATCTCATCTGCTCAGGGCAAGTATAAAGCATTTTCCACATGTGCATCTCACCTTTCAGTTGTTCTTTTATTTTATTGTACAATCCTAGGGGTGTACCTTAGCTCTGCAGCTACCCACAGCTCACAATCAAGTGCAATAGCCTCAGTGATGTACACTGTGGTCACACCAATGCTGAACCCCTTCATCTACAGTCTGAGGAACAAAGACATAAAGAGGGCCCTGAAAAGATTCTTTGTGAAAGAAATTACAAAAGGGCAGTTGTCATAGTTCTGGTGAAGTGACCATAATTGTAGAGATGAAAACTTCAGATTCAGAAAATGTGACTATTTGGTCAGACTCTGGAAGTAGAATTTGCTCTTTCCATTTATTTCTTGGAATTTCCAATTCTTTCACCTCAACTTCTCTACTCAATTTATGTAGCCCTATTTTTTAAGTTTTCTGCTCTTTGTAATACCCAGCAGTTATTCCTTTTTTTTTTGGTTTCATACTTTCTCATATTTATCCCAACTGTGGTACAAATATAGTTTGAAATTCCCACTTGCCTAATGAAATAATGTGGATTTTATTTTTTGAATTACTGTCTCATTTGTCATATAAGAGACCAAATAATTTTTTTGTTTTACTAAGAGAAGTAAATAAGTTCAACTACTTCTACGGAAAAGTAACTGCAATTGATGACCAAGGCAATTTATGTAATTTTGTATTGGAGGAAATCACAGACAAAAATTTTACATAGTTGTGTACATCATTTCTTTTATATTACTTCCTGCAGACTAACATACAGTCTGTTTTATAGCTGGTCACTGGGTTTTATTCTCTTCATTAAGATCATGTATTCTTGGGCCTCCCCGGTGGCGCAGCGGTTGAGCGCTGGGTTGCGAAACTGCGCGCGGCCTCTGCGGCGCCGGTTCGATCCCCGGCTGCTCCCCGGCCACCGGAGGAGAGTCCCACATGGCGCGCAGGCCTCTCCTGCCGCCCGCTGCTCCCCTCAGCAGTGTACTTCGGTCCTTCTGCCTGCTCTGCTCCCCGCTCTGGCTCTGGTGAATTCTCTCACCCTCCCGTGCTTCTGACTGTACCCAGTGCATGTATAAACAAAAACAAACAAACCAGCAAACAAATAAATAAAGCATGCCTCTATTAAAAAAAAAAAAAAAAAAAAAAAAAGATCATGTATTCTTACCATAAAATTTTCTATAAGATATGCATAAGAAGTATGCATGAGAGACACACTTTTTTAAAATAAATCTTCATTTTTTTTAAAGATTTATTTTTTATATAAGCACTGGGTACAGTCAGAAGTGCAGGAGGGTAAGAGGATTCACCAGAGCAAGAGCGGGGACCAGAACAGTCAAACTGACAAAATACACTGCTGTGGGGAGCAGCGGATGAGACAGGAGACACATTTTGATAAATAGGTTAACTACTATTATTATAGATTCACAAGAAGTCTGCAATTACTCTGCAAAATATTTGTTTGTCATGCTCCATGTCTACTTATTGGATTATGGAGATTGGTGTCAATGTGTTTGAGTTTATACACATGGATGAATATTTAATTGGCAATTCTTTATATTTTTTATTGAATTATCATCATATTTCTCCTTGACGCTTCCAGTGCACCTATAATAATACTCCTTTCTTTGAAGGAAATATACCTTCCCTTATTAGTTTTTCATAACTAGAGAAGGGTGGTAAATGATCATTATTTCCCCTTTACACTTGGGATTCAATTCAACATTTATGGTCAGGAGGAAAGTAAATTCCAGTCTAGTCACCAGCTCATGACACAAACAGTCATATCATTTCAACTATTTTTGGCTACCTAAATATCAATCTAAGTGGAAGTTGATTTTATTTTAGATACAATTGTTAGAAATAAAGTGAAATAACAAAGCAACCCTAAATGTTTTCTTCAAACATAATAACAAATCAAAATGATAGCCAGTGACAGATTTTTATAATTGCCCTCACTTCTATTCACTTGAATTATTGTATCAGTTAATTATTACTGCATAACAAGCGAAACAAATTATTTAGTATAATGGCTTAATTACCAAAGGAGATTGCATGGTGGGGTATTTTTCTGAGCTCTGCTGCTCTCTGTCATGTGTTTTCCACTGTGTATCCCAATATCGTGTTTCTTTTTTTTTTTTTTGGCTTAGTGTCTTTTATTTATTTTTTTAAAGATTTATTTATTTATTTATATAAGAACAAGGGTACAGTCTAGATGTGTAGGAGGGTGACAGGATTCACTAGAGACAGAGCAGGTAACAGAACAGGCAGACTGTGTTTCTAAGACACATTCATGATGTTATGTGAATCATGGTACTCTTCTCCCTTGATCCAATATATGATCAGTTTGTCTCATTATCTTCTGGTTTATTTAAGGAGAGAATCGCATATGAATTTATTTAAATTTGCTTATTTTTGTCTGAATGTATATATGATACTCTTCTTTCTTCCTAGGTAGAAGAGATATCTCTTGCTACTGCTTCAATGAGAATCATGTACTGTGTTTTGAATTCTACTATGATGCATGTAGTGTTGAATATTTTGCTCCTTCTGTGAAATTTATTGGAGAATATTCCATATTAAAAATTGTATATGTTTAAAATGTACAATTTGAGCAACAAAAGTGGTTTATCAAACACTGCTATATATAGCACATATATTCTTTTGTGTTTAATTCAAGAACAATCTATTATCATGACATTTTAATGTAATGTTAAAGTTTGAATCTCTTAATTTCCTTCTGCAGTTAATTTCCTTAGAAATTAGAACCTTAATTTCCTTCTGCAGTTAATGTGGAAATAGTAAATACCGCTGCAAGGAATTTTGCAAGAAATAAAAGAAATTGTGGATTTTGTTGAGCCAAAACAATATTCACAAATAAACTTTTTGTTGTTTTTTGCATTTTTTATTTCAAATAAACTAGCATATATATGTATGAAAACATTAATTTATAGTCCCATATTTTATGTTGAAAGTAAATCTGAGAAAGTTGGACATGATAGAAATATCAAGAATGTACATTCAAATTTACAAATTATAGAATGTAGAATTTTTTTTACAGATTTCCAACTTGTTTTTTGTTTTTATTCTCTGTCATTACTTAGTGTTCTTTGTGACCTTTGGTGATTTATATCTATTTGTATATATTGCATCATCGCCAACTTCCTCTGGAATATATTCTTGTTTACTTCAGATTAAAGATCACTTTTATATTCTGTTCACATGTTTGACTTCATATATCTTTATATATGATACAATTATAGGTGGCAGGGTAATGTAGAGGGAGTCATTTCGATAGTGTTATAGCACTAGAACTTTTTTGAAGTGTAACATTATATTCCAGAAATTGTATAATAATGATCTTCTGCTCAGAGGAGCTGACCTATAAGGACCTGCTGGTACCACTACAGATTCTAACAAATCTTCAAAAAGGAAAGGGAGAGGAAATTCTTCTAAAAACATGACACCAACATTTCTCTGATATTAAAAGCATATAAGGATTTTACAGAAAAAGAAAACTCCAGGCCAATATCCCCAATGAACATAGATGCAAAAATCCTCAACAAAATCTTAGCAAACTATTTCAACAATACATTAAAAATATATTCTACCATGACCCAGTAGGATTTATTAGGTAACACAAGGAGGGTTCAACACCCACAAAATGAAAATTGTAATTCTCACATCAACTAAAAGATAAATGAAAATCATATTATGCACACATGTAGATAAACCATTTAATAAGAGTCAACATCCATTTATATCAAAATCTCTCAAAAATGGGGTTAAAAGGAACATACCACAACACAATAAAAGTCAAAAGTAAAAAAAAAAAAAACTTGCAGTCAGCATCAGACTTCATGGTTAAAAAATTAAGTTTTCTTCTAAGATCAGATACAAGACAAGGATGTCCACTTTGACCACTACCATTCAATGAGCATTGGACCACTATAGTACAACAATTAGGCATCAGAAAGTTATATAAAGAATAAAAAATTGGATAGAAGTAAAATTTATCACCATTTGTGGATAGCACACTCACATGCATAGAAAACCCTAAAGATTCAACTAAGAAATCTACTAAAATAACAAATCACTACTGTAAAGTGTTAGACTACAAATAAACACATAAACAGTTGCATTTCTATACAACATAAAGAACTAAAAAAAAAGAAGAAATCAAGAAAAGGATACCCTTAATAACTGAATCAAAGAGAATTAAATACTAGGGTTAAACATAACAAAATAGGTGAAGGACTGTAAAAGAAAAACTATAAGAGATTGTCAAGATAAATAAAACAGAATAAATGGGAAGATATCATCCATTTAAGGATTGGAAGAGTTAACATTCTTAAAATGGCCATCATACCCAATGCAATATACAGATTCAATGCAATCCTTATCAAAATTTCAATGGTATACTGCAAAGAAATAGAAAACAACATTACTGAAATTAATTCAGACCCAAAATACATTCCAAAAATCCAATGCTTCTGATGAAAACAATGGAGATATTGTGTTCCTAGACTTCAAGATATATGATAAAGCTGTAAAAATCATATGGTATAGCATTTGAATGAAAATGTACACAAAGGACAATGAAATAGTATTCAGAATCCAGAAATAAATCCCAGATTCATTTTCACAATGATTATGCCAAGGAACCTATAGTATATACTAGAGAAGGAGAGTATTTTCAACGATGGCATTGGGAAAACTGGGCAACCACAAGCAAAAATGAAACTAGATCATTAATTCACACCATACAAAAAAATAAATCATAGTGGATTAAAGATTTGGATGTGAGACATGATACCAAAAACACATAGAAGAAAACATAAGTAAAACACTATGATATACACATCTCTGTAACATCTTTAAAGATTCATTCACAAAGAAAAGGAAGTGAAGGAAAAGATAAACAGCTGGGAATACATCAAACTAAAAAGATTCTGAACAGCAAAAGAGACATTAACTAAAACAAAGAGACACCCCACTGATAGGGAGAAAATTTTTGCACTCTATACAACTGATGTGGATTGATCACAAAGATATATAAAGAACTCACACAAGTCAATAAAAACAAAGTAAGGAATCCAGTCAAACAATGGGCAAATGAACTTAAAAGACACTACTCCAAAGAGGAAATGCTAATGGCCAACTGGCATATGAAAAATTGTTCAAAATCCCTCATATTCAGGCAAATGCAAATCAAAACCATTATGAGATACCATCTTATACTAGTAAGAATGGCA